CCCTGTGTCCCTTCGCCACACGCAGCCAGGCTGGGCCCTCTTTGCTCACAGCTCTCGGGGCCCCTGGTGTGCTGGGATGTGGCCTTGGCCTGGCTCAGCAGGCCCACCTGGCTGGAGCCCGCCTACATCTTGGACCACTCTTCCCCTCCCTTCATGCCAGCCCTGCCCATGGGGTCCCTGCCTCTGGGCTTCTGCACTGGCTGTTCCCTCTAGCACAGTGCTGTTCCCTGAGGTGCTGCTGGGCTGGCGCCTTATATCCCTTGGGAATCCGTTGTCCCTTTGGGAGAGGCTCTGACCCCCGTGCTCAGGCCCCATGACGGCCGCTGCCATCAAATGCCGTCCACCCCCACATGCCGTCCACCCCTGCCATCACATGCCGGTCCCCTGAACAGCTCTTCCTCAGAGTTTTCTTCTTTATCGACCTTTTTCAGCGTTTGACCGTCTCCCCTCTTGGGTTTCAGCTCCGCAGAAGCCGGGCTGTGTTCCCTGGGTCCCCGGGCTGCTCGTGAGCAGAATGAACTGTGCTGAGGGCTATGGGGGAGGCTGCCCTGCTGAGGGACGGAAAAGGAGGTGGGGTGGGCTCCGAGGGGCCCCACTGGGGGTCTTTCAGTGGCCCTTGTGGTTAGCAGGGCCCACTATGGGCAGAAGAGGGCAGGGGTGGGCTGACCCCAGAGGCTGGCACGCTCCCCTGGGTGTCATGGTGATGGGGAAGGTCCCAGGCCCCAGGCTGAGGCCCCTGCTCATCCCGCTCTGTGCTTGCTGGCGTGTGGCATTCACCGAGGGCCTCTGTGTGCCAGGCTGGGGCTGTGCTGGTGCCTTGGCTCCGCAGGGTGAGTGGCGTCCGTTGCTCAGATGGAAAATAGAGGCTCTAAGAGCTGAGGGACGGGTTCCCAAACACGGATGTGGGACGTGAACTGGGTCAGCTGGTCCCCACTGTGGCGCCCATGCACAGTGGTGGAGTGTGTGCGTGTGTATGTGCAAGCGTGCAGGTATGCATGTGTAAGCACATGTGTGTGAGCACGCAATGACCCCAGCCCCCTCCACCCCTGGCCGAGAGCTGCCCCGGCAGCGAGCCGCCCAGGCCCTGTGGCGGCTTCATCTCCTGCCCCTGGAGTCCGGGCGCCCAGGGCTAGGTTGCAGCCTGGTTGTGCCCCTGCAGCTCCGCGCTTCAGCTGGTTGGGTGCTGCCGTGAGCGGGGTCCTCAGGCCCTCGCGGCCCGGCGTGGAGAGAAAGCGGCCACGTGAGTGGGTGGCCCGGAGCGCGGGGTGGGAAGGCCAGTGAGCTTCCTCGGCAGCTGACCGGGACACCTCGCCGAGTGACCAGCCTCACTGGGCTTCTTGCGAGGGGCGCAGCCCTGGGTGCTCCCAGCGAGGGTCCCCTGTGGAGCTGGCCAGTCGGTGCAGGCTCCCGTGTCCCTTCGTGTGGCGCGTCTGCGGGAAGGGCTGGTGGTATCACTGCTCCCTGGGGGCACTGGTGCTGTGTCTCCTGGACACGAGCTGCTTTGTCTCAGGCCCAGACCCGAGAATTTCTGTTTCTCCGGTGTCTGGTACTGAAAAGCTTTCCACTAAACAGCGCTCCTCACAGAATAGGTTTTAAAAATAGGATCAATTCGCGGCCCGAAGTGATGGGGAGGGAAGGGGGTGGAGCAGCTGCCCATCAAAGGGCCCCACCCACGCCCCTCCCAGGAGCGGAGCTCCGCCTCAGCTAAAGGAGCCCAGTGCGGGGGGGCTGGAGGGTGCCGGCTGAGGGGCTGGATGGCAGCTGTGCCAGCCGTGGCCCGGCTGTGATTCTGGGCAGCTTCCACCAGGCAGAAGGTGGGGCTGTCACACAGCCCTGACCCTCACCCTGTTCTGTTCATATGTAAAATGAAATCAGTGACGCTGAGGGTGTGTTAGCTTCCTGGGGCTGCAGTAATGAATTGCCACAAACTGGGGGGCTTAAAACAACAGAAATGTGCTCTGGAGGCTGGAAGCCCAAAATCCAGTAGCGTTCTCCCGCTGAAGGCGCTGGGGAGCGCGCTTCCCACCTCCTCCGGCTCGGGCGACTCCAGGCCTCCTGGGCTTGTGGGCACGTCACTCTGTGACTTGGTTTCTCGTGGCCTCGCCTCTGTGCATCCATGTTTCCTTTTTTGGCTCTTATAAAGACACTCGTCTTTGTTTTTTTAAAATATATTTATTTATTTTTGGCTGCGTTGGGTCTTCGTTGCTGCGTGTGGGCTTCTCTCTAGTGGCGGCAAGCGGGGGCTACTCTTCGTTGTGGTTGGCGGGCTTCTCACTGCGGTGGCTTCTCTTGTTGCAGAGCATGGGCTCTAGGTGCGCGGGCTTCAGTAGTTGTGGCATGCGGGCACAGTAGTTGTGGCTCGCGGGCTCAGTAGCTGTGGCTCGCGGGCTCTAGAGCGCAGGCTCAGTAGTTGTGGCACACGGGCTTCGTTGCTCCGCGGCATGTGGGATCCTCCCGAACCAGGGCTCAAACCCGTGTCCCCTGCATTGGCAGGCGGATTCTTAACCACTGCGCCACCAGGGAAGTCCCAAGACACTCGTCTTTAGATTTAGGGCCACGCGGATAATCCTGGGTGACTCATTTTGAGATCCTTACCTTATTCACATCTGCAAAGACCCTTTCTCCAAATAAGGTCATGTTTGCAGATTTGGGGGGGTCAGGACGTGGAAATGTCTTTTGGGGGCCCCCACTCACCCCAGTGCAGGCGGGCGAGGGTACGCATTGATTCTCAGATCTCTGTAAGGAGTAGGATGTGAGCTGCATTTCAGTTAGAGCCAGGATCCAGAAAGATTGCACCGGCCCAGGGAAAAGGGTCTCGGGGACACACGCTGGCTCTTGCATGTAGGTCCCCAAGCCAGCCTCACAAGTGCAGGCGTCCAGGACGGCAAGACCTGCTTGGCAGCAGGAGGCGTCTGAGGAGCGTGACGTATGGGGCGACACAGGGGCTCGTAGCAAACGAGGCTCTAGACCACGAGTCGGCAAACCAGGGCCCTGAGCCAAATCTGGCCCGCTGCTTGTTTCTGTTATAAGTTTTATTGGAACACAGCCATTCACTTATGTGTGGTCTGTGGCTACTCTCGCAGTTCAGTAGTTGTGACAGAGACTGCGTGGTCCACGTAGCCGAAAACAGTTACTGTGTGACTCTTCACAGAAAGGGTTATGGACTTTGCTCTTGGCTATATCACTGGGAGCATAACTCCTAGAACAAAGGGGTGACAGTCTGGCCCTGCCTTGCTGTGAAGGCCACAACTAAAGTGAATGGTGTTTCCTGTGACAGAAGGCCCTCACCCTCACCTGTGCCAGGTGATGGGGCTGTCACTGCTCCAGCAGAAGAGGGCCTGCCTTCGAGAGCTCACCTTCCAGGGTGGGGAGTGGGGAGACTGGAAATAGGGGACAGACAGCTACCTAGAAAAGCCACCGAGAGAGATGCCGGCCTTCCCTGGGGAGAGGAGTGGCAGGAGGGGTCGGCGTGTCTGGGGATGGGGCAGCCCGTGTGGCTGGCAGGGCTGTCCTCATGCCCGTGGTCCCTTCCCTAGCTGCCTCGGTGGCTTCCCTTTGTCCACACACATTTTTACTGGGAGTCTTTCTGTGCTCACCGCCTCCCCAAGCTTTTACCTCTTGGGCCTCTTGTGACACATCAGGGAACACTTCCATAACAACACATGCCCTTCATGCCACGTGTGTGACTAATTTCTCTCCGGGCCGGGCCACGAGTTTCCTAAGGGAGCCATGCTCGGGAGAGAACACGCTGGAACCCTTGGGTGGGCAGATGGGTTTTTGTGGGTTCTGGGGTTTTGTTTGTTTCCCTCAAAATGAGAACATCTTTGCTTTTTTCTGACATAAGCATTTCAAACACTACAAACAGGGTGTCAGATAGGAAGTGGAGCTCCCCCATCACAATCCCCGGATTTTGAAATACAGGCGTGTTGGAGCCCAGTCACCCAGGCTGGTCTATGTACTGCCTGGGGCTGCTTTCACACCCGACGGCAGAGATGGGCGGCCGGGACAGACTGTCCACCCTCTGCCTTCATAAGGAAGGGGCTGTGACTGTGGTTTGATGGCAAACAGGCAGGAAGCACCACCCTTGTTCTCCGCTGGTGGCAAAGATGAGTCTTGAGTCAAGCTCATCGGGATCTGGTTGTCACTTGGGTCTGTGGGGCTGCTTTTCCAGGGTTTGGGGGTTGGGCTGGGGGAAGCAGTTCATCGCTTCATCCCGCGCCCGCCCCTCCATCCCCTCCTGCCCGGACGAGGGGGCTTGATCGTCGAGCGTGCGGGGCTCAGGGCTGTCCGGCACTTCAGTGTTCAGGTGTTCACATTAGGCCCCGGACCCCTCACCTTCATCAGAGACCGGGCGGCGGCCACGCTGGGCGCGCTTAGGAGGGTCACTCGTGCTCTGATCTAGGGCGGTTCTCCAGGGCCACACAGGCGGCCAGGAGTGGCGGGGATACTAGCACAGCGATTAGGGTGTTGAGGGAGATGGGAACTTGAGACAGACTCCGGCGCGTCTCCTGCAGGCTCTCGGGGGCGGCTCGTGCCGCGTCTGGCAGAGGGACCCAAGCCCAGTGGCCCTCCTGCCCTCCCCGGCGCTGGAGTCCGGCTCACACCCTGGAAACGGAAAAATCCAGGAGGTGAAGTGGCTCTGGGTATGGCAGGAAGCCACCCTTGCAGGGCCGAGGCGGGAGGCCTGAGTCCCCGGGCAGGTTCCGGGCAGGCTCCGTGCTGTCCTGCCAGCAGCCTGAGTGTGGCCCCCGTGGCCCCAGGGTCTGGGGCAGGCTGGAGGCCCTGGCTGGGGGCCAGGGTCAGGTGGGCAGGCCAGCCAGGGGGTGTTCTGAACCCACTTCCGCTGTGTGGCCGGGGCCGTGTGGGTGGGGTCACCCACTTGCACACGAGGTGGAGGTGCAGGGTGGCCGGGGCCCAGACTCTCGGGCGAGCGGGTGCCGGGGCCGGGGCGGTAGCTGCACTGGGCCTGCGTGCCTGACGGCCCCCCGCGCCCTCCGCAGACTGCCTACTGATGCTGGCCTACAAGGACAGGTCAGAGCGAGCCCGAGGGATGCGGGAGCGCAGCAGCCTCGCGCTGGAGGACATCTGCGGCCTAGAGCCCGGCCTGCCCTACGAGGGCCTGGCCCACACGCTGGCCATCGTCTGCCTGTCGCAGGCCGTCATGCTGGGCTTCGACAGCCGGGAGGCCATGTGCGCCTGGGACGCCCGGATCCGCCACGCGCTGGGTGAGGGTGAGTGACACCGGTGCGGGGCTCCGGGGGCCCAGCCTCTGTCCTGAAGCGTCCCGCGGGCCCCGCCGACGGGCTGCAGAGGCCAGGACGCGACTCCAGGCCACGGAGCCCAGTGCTTGCTGAGCGCCCTCCGCTCGGCCGCAATTGGGGCGGGGGGCTGGGGGGCTGGCCCCTCTTGAGCTCCCTAACTTTTGACCCCATTCATCTGAACTAGAGCTTTTAGCCCCAGCGGGCGGCTGGCTGAGCAGAGTGATCCGCAAGTGCTACCCTTGGCTTCTAACGGGGCCGCCTGAGCCCAGAGCCGGGGCGGCAGGAGCCGCGCGGTGTCGGGAGCGCCGTCCCCCGCGTGTCCCTCAAGGGGAGTAGCGGGGTGCGGGGAGTGCTCTCGGGAGATGGGGGGACCCAGCCCACCTCTCAGCCCCGCTGCCCACCCGGCTGTGTGAGCAGAGGCGGGCGGGCCCCCAGCTGAGCCATCAGAACCCATGATATTTTTTTAAAAATTAAAAAAAATTGAAGTAGACTTAATTTACAATGTTGTGTTAGTTTCAGGTGTCCAGCAAAGTGGTCCATTTATACACATATACGTATATTCTTTTTCATGTTCTTTTCCATGATAATTTCTTACAAATAAAGAGTAGAGTTCCCTGTGCTATACAGTAGGTCCTTCTTGTTTACCCGTTCTATATATAGCAGTGTGTATATTTTAATCCCCACGTCCTAATTTATCTCGAAACCCGTGATATTTTAACACCATATTTTAAAAATTCAAAATTAAAGCCTAAAGCCCGTGACGAACAAAGTGTCAGAATTTAGAGTGAAGCTGGGCTCCGAGCCACCCTCAGACATTCCCGTCCTCAGCTGCCCCAGCGCCACAGCCAGCCTGGTCTCGATTCACACATTTGCTGTTTCGCTCACCGTGGGCATTTTGCATTAATTTTTGTTGTTTGAATAATCACTAAAATGTCAGTGATCTTGGCCACTGTTTTGTGCCCAGGTAAGGCCATTGCTCACCTCACACCAGCCCAGCCCGGCTAGCGGGCTGCGGCCCCTCCCACCTCCGGGCGCCCCCAGAGCAGTCCCCTAGTCTGGGGACGTGTGGATGGCTCAGTGAGGGGATGCAGTGGCAGAAGGGAAGAGCGCGCCTTTCCAGAAAGTTCTGCGGTTGGGGGTTCCCGCCAGTTCAGCCTGGCTCAGGGCACGGCTCCTTTTCTGCTACGGGGCAGGCAGGGTCCTTGCACAGAGGCAGCTGGCGCCCTGTCTCGGCACCTTGCCAGAAATCACCAGGACACTGATGGGGTCGCTGACCCCCAGCTTCCTTGGGCCGGGCACTGCAGGCCCTCAGGGCTTCCTGCAGGGGCTTGGGTGGGGCTCAGGGAGGAGGAGGTGGGGCTGGGACTGGGCCCCTCTGGGTTGGAGATGAGGCTGGTGGGCACGGGTGGGTAGGCCGCCGTCCACTCCTGGGCCCGGCTACTCCGGGGTGCACCCTCTTCTGAGGTGGGAGCCATCTGGGGAGAGAAGACCATCCTTCTGAGGGGCTTCAGGGCAGAGCGCTGAGCCGAGGTAGTGGATGAGATCTCGGGGAGCAAGTTGTCCTGCTCGGCGCCAGGGAGAACCCCTAACTGGAGAGGGAAGGGGGTCCACGGTTTCCTGAGCGTCCCTGCGGTCAGGCTGGGCTGTGAGGCAGACCTTAGACTCTCCACGGACCAATGGGAGGCTGGGCCTCCTGGGCCTCCGTTTCCCCATCTTTGAAATGGGACCACAGCAGCTACCCTTGGCGGGGGTTCTCAGAAGACGTGCTGTGAACAGGAGTCCTGAGGCCACGGACCTACCAGGAGTCACATGTGAGCTTTTACTGGAGCTCGCCGGGGCCAAGTTAGGATGGGGAGGGGGCCCCCTGCGGATGGGAGAGGTGAGTGTAGCCACCTCGGGGCTGGATGCTGCGCTGGGAGGCGGGGTGGGGCAGACCTGCCCTCTGAGCTGACCCTGGGATGCTGCGCCCCCCTCCCCCACCTCTGCCCCAGCGACGCCCTCTCGCCCCTGCCCCGCCCTTAGTGCACAGGTTCCACGTGACCGTGGCTCCAGGCACCAAGCTGGAGAGCGGACCCGCCACCCTGCACCTCTGCAATGACATCCTCGTCGTGGCCAGGGACGTCCCTCCGGCCGTCACGGGGCAGTGGAAGCTGTCGGACCTCCGGCGCTATGGGGCCGTGCCCAGCGGGTTCATCTTTGAAGGAGGGACCAGGTGTGGGTACTGTAAGTATGTGGGCCGTGGGGACCCTGGGCCGCGGGCAGCCCCAGACCTCCCGGCTTCCCGGCCCGACCGTGGTTCAGAGCCGACCCTCCTGCTTGCAGCTGGCCTCTCGGGGACACGGCAGGGTTATGTCTTTTAACGTCGAGCCCAGACCCTCAGCCGTCTCTGTTCTTGCTGTTGGAGGGTGGGTGCTTGGAGGCTGAGAGGAGGGCCCCTCCCGCAGGAAGCCCATGCAGGGGCCACCCGGAGGCAGCTCATGGGCCTACGTCCCAGGTCACAGAGCATCAGAGCGGCTCAGGTTGGCTTTAAAAAAAAAAGGGGGAAGAAGAAGAATAGATGCATTTACTGAGGATGTGCTGAGAAACTCCGTAGTGGACCCGCCAGCTCCCTTGGCCCTCCCAGGCTGGACGTCACAGGTGGGGGCCGAACGCGAGGGCCCAGCAGTGAGGCAGGGGTCCCGAGGGCTGAGGTGGTGTCCGAGCTCCAGCAAGCTGTCCTCGAGGCCGGGAGGGGCGTGGTGGGAGTGGGGGATGTTCCAGTGCCCCCAGCCTGCTGTTCTCCAAGTTGGGGGCCACTGTGGACTTGCTGTCACCGCGGGGAGCGAGAAGTCCCTTCCCTCCTCTCCAGCGGGGCCGAGCCTATCTGCGTGGCCTCCCCGGGCTTGCGGCTGGCCGAGGGCCTCCTGCTGACCAGCTGGGCGGCCTCGAGGGCCATGGTCAGTGTGCTGGGCTGTGCATCCCCACCTCCGTTCAGCCTGGGACCCTGGTCAGGGGGATCATCGGCCCCTCTCTCGTGTGCAGGGTGGATGGAGGCTCTAAGCTGGGGGCGACCTCTCTCCACCTCTCCACCCCTGTAAAGGGGCATTAACCGCCCCCCTCTCTGCCACCCGCAGCCTCATGAGAGCACGCAGATGGCCAGGGCCTACCGCAGGGTCTGGCACACGCTCGGTATGGCCAGGATGGGGGTCCACCTGGCTCTGGGGCCTTGGTCATGCCTGGATTTCTCTGGACAGAGGACACGGTTGTGCTGCGTGCTGGGCATCTGGCCCCCTCATTCCGCAAGGGGTGTGTGAGGTGGGACAGGCTGATCCGGCCCAGCCTGGCAGCCCGCAGGGCCCTGCCTTTGAGGGGACAAGATGTAGGCTTCAAAGGCGCTTAGCAAACAGGTGAACAAGCAGGTGAGGGCCAGGTTCCTGCTCAAGGCAGCAAGATGTCTGTAGCCACTGAATTGTATGATGCTCCCTGGTCCTGGGCTTGGGGGAGGTTAAAAGCTTGGAGACGCAGAGAGGCAGGGAGGGGCGATGTAGCGGAGGCGAAGGTGGACCTCTGGGGCGGGAAGTTTGGCGCAGTGGCCCTGGAGCTGGTGGGGCGGCCGCAGACGGCGGCCGAAGGGCCTTGACCGCGGCTGGGCCTGTGCATTTCCCACCTGGAGTTTTTGAGCATGAGTGAGGGGTGAGCGCAGCTGTCGGCCTGCCTGCCTGGGCTGTTGTGGAAGGGCGCACGGGACATTGGCCAGAGTCCTTTCTGCTGGACAAGCCGTGGGCCACCTCGTCTTTGGTACATCAGAGGTGACAGCAGCGGGTGGTGCAGGGGACCCTGGCCCAGCTTTGTTTCCCTCCCTTGCGTGGCTGGCCGGGAGCCGCAGGTCACAGCGTACTTGGCCCTTCCCTTCCGAGATCTCCTCCATGTGGGGCCCTGGAGCTGCTGGGGGCACCCCGGGCAGGGTCGGGGGGAGAGACCAGCGTCCTGGCTGGAACTGTGGAATCCCTGCGTGCTGAGTCTCAGACAGGATGGCTTGTGGCTGTTTTGAGGACTGGGGTTCAGACCTGGGGTTGGTGCTGGCGTGTGCCCTCGAGCGGGGGCAGGCCAGGAGGACCGGTTCCTTGGAGACCATTTTATTTGCCCGGACATAATGTAATAGAGCCCTCTAGATATTTCTCCCCTGAGGCCTCAGGGTTGAAAATTCCGACTCTTGGTGTGGGTGGGCTCCTTCTGTGATCGTCAACAATTCCAGGCACCGGAGCAGCTGAACCTCGAGCCGCTGTGCCTTCCCTGGATCCCCAGCGTGAACTGTGACAGGGCCACCTTGTTGCTTCCGCCTGAGGCCTCGAGTTAGCTCCGTCCACAAACCCGGGCTGGCCCAGCGGATCCGCCTTGACCTGCAGGCTGCAGGCCAGACATTCTCCCTCCCGCTGAGGGACCCTGGACCGAGAGAGAGTCCCTGTTGGACATCCTCATCTCCCCTCCAGGCTGTCTGGAGGCCCCTGGCCAAACCCACCCGGTCAACGGTGGCCGAACACGGTGGTGGGTGGCTAGGCCAGCCTGTCCCGACCCTCTGCCCCCGGCAGGTCCCACTGGGCTCCGTTCTCTTCCAGGGACAAGCTTGCCGCTGCTCTGCTCGTGTAAGCCAGTTTTTAGGCTGTTACCGGACTCGATGCAGGGCTGGGTGGGAAGGGACGGTGCACCCCTGTGCGTGTGGTCAGAGCACCAGGCCGCTCAGGACCCGGGCCGTCCTGGGAGGAGGGTGGCTAGTTCAGGTCCAGGAAGGGTGTGAGTTAGGGTCCTGGGGCCACGCGGCAAATGACCACAAACCGGGGCCTTAGGACAACACAAATTTGTTCCTTCACCGTTTCGTTCAAAGTCAAAGTCGGGGAAGGGCCGGGCTCCCTCGGGGGTCCAGGGGAGGGTCTTCCCTGCCTGTTCCAGCTCCCGGGGGGGGGGGGCAGGTGTGCCCGGGCTTGTGGCTGCGTCACTCCCGTCTCTGCTCCGGCATCACGGGACGTCTCTGTAGGACACCAGTCGTTGGATTTAAGGCCACCCCACACTCGGGGATGATCTGTCTGAGAGCCTTCACTTGAGCACACCTGCAGAGACCCTTTTCCAAATAAGGCCACAGTCATCGGCTCCAGGATGTGAACCTATCGTTTGGGGCCACCGTTCATTCAGCCCATGACAGGGGTCACCTGAACTGTGACGGTGCCAGCATCCAGATCTCGATGAGTCTGTGGGCACCGGGACAGAGAGTGGGTTAGAGTCCCCAGAAGGCCCTGGAGGGTTTTGGATGTAAGGAATCAACATCTTCTCCCCTGGGGCAGGTCCCAGCCTGGACCCTGGGCCCCCCAGGCCACACCCCCTGGGCCCTCAGCCTCAGACCACTCCAGAGAGCAGTAACTCGACCCTGGCCCCCTTCACCCATCCTGAGGCGTGGGTGACAGGATGTCAGGAGAGGGCCCTGGAGCGTGTGGGGGAGGGGTCGGGCAGGTGTGCGGGGGGCTCCGTGTGGCTCCGGGTACCGCGTGGGTGGACGTGTCCTCTCTGTGGCCTCCACGTGGACGATAGCCTGTGCAGATGGTTCGGATGGGGGTTGGGCTTGGTGGCCGGGAGCTTGAGGTCCCGCAGCGTGGCCCGATTCTCTCTCTCTGGGGTGGTCACGGCCCGCTGTGTGTGTTTAGGGCTGCAGGGCAGGGGCAGGGCATGCTGGTGAGGGTGACACAGAGGTTTAGGGCCCCTTCCCCAGCAAGAGGCTCAGCAGGCAGGGAGAATGGTGGGCCCGGGAGAGTGGGGTCTGTCTGCGGTCTGGAGCCTGGGGAGGGCTTTGGAGAGGGCCAGGGGGCATTTGGACAGGGCCTAAGCAGGAACGGAAGTTTCTAGGAGGAGGGGCCCCAGAGGAAGTCCCCGTCCTTTACATTGGCAGGTCCTGTCAAGGGCACTTCAAGGGCATTTCCACATCCGTGTGAGCCGGCTGCGGACAGGATCGGGGTCCTCGGATGCTGAGGAATTCAGCGGGTGGTGGAGGGCGGGGGTCCCAGGCTGGCTCCTAAGTCTGTGCAGGCTGCTTCCCCTCTCCTTCTCCCTAGCTCCTCGGGGTCCAGGCCATCCTGTCAGCCCCTTGGGGTGCAGTGAGCATTTTAAAATGATTTTTATATGTGCGTAAAGGAGAAGCTCTGAACTAGGGAGAGACCGTCTTGCCACGCCTGTCCAGCTCTGAGAAGCCCTTAAGTGCCTCTTTTGTGGTCCAAATGCTGGTCTCGCTGGAACTGCTGGAGCCCTGGTCTTGAAGCCCAGGAATCTTGGGGAGGAGGGAATGCATTCAGGGGCTTCTCTGTGGCCTGCACTGGGTGAGGGGTTGGAGCTGGGAGCACACGGCTGGGGAGACTCAGCCTGTGTGGGAGGACACAAAGCGTTTAGAATCCTCGGGGGCACAAGGGGAGCCGGGGAGGGCCACAGGCCCCAGCCCGGGAGCGTTGGGGAGGCCCTCTGGAGGTGAACCTGAGTGGGGCCTCTGCGGGGTGAATAGGAGTTGGCCCAGCCGCCGAAGGTAGGGAGGGCTGGGGGGAAGAGAGAAGGTGCTCCAGCCATACATTAAGTGCGGCTGGGTGACGGGAACAGTGTGTGCGGGGTGGCAGAGGTGAGGTAAGAGGAGGAATCTGGACCAGAGCTTGCACTGTGTTCCCAGGGTAGCAGGGAGCCATCAAAGGTGCTAGAGCAGGACAGTGCCACCCACAGATCTGTGTTGAGGGCGATAACTGTGGCCCCAGGGTGTAGACGGGATGGAGGCAGGGGCCGTGAGTGGGCGTGAGATGTGGATCCGCTGAGGCAGGGTCCTGCTGTGGGCGGCAGCTGGGTGGGTGGGCAGGGCCTGTGGGTTCAGGAATGTTAAGGTGGTGAGTGAGAGGGGGAGGGAGGGAGGGAGGGCCAGCCTGGGGTGGGCGGGGAGGAGGGCGAGGCCAGGCGAGGGTCCCAGCAGGGTGGGCCTGGGCTGAGCGGAGCAGTGCTTTGCCGGGAGCGTTGGGGAGGCCCTCAGGAGGTGAACCTGAGTGGTGGGGCAGGCGTCCCAGGCTGGGTTGCAGCCTGTGCAGAGGCCCCGTCAAGAACCTGTTCGGGTTTATACTTGGAGCTTGAGTCTCCCCTTGGGGTCTAGGGCCCCTGTCACATTTCTGACAGGTTTGTGGTTGATTTCAGCCCTCTGCCCTGAAGTCTCTGCTCCGGGGG